GTAAGCCCTGCTCCTCAGGACTTACACAAACATGTCACTAGATTACATAAGCTCAGTTCTGCCTTGTATTTAGTCCCGCACTTCCCCTTCACCTAGACAGCAGAGATCTTTCTCTCCTGTCTAGGTAAGTACCCTGCCTTCCTTCCTTCTCTTCTCATTTCCTTTTCTCACTTTCCATCATTTGTAGATACTAAATGAGAGATCTTTCTCTCCTGTCTAGACATGAAATAAAAGACACGTTGGTACTAGAATCTTCTCTGTGGATGCTATTGAGCATCTTTTCTAGCACCTTTCCGACAGACAGTGAAGGACTTGACGGAATCCTTACAGTAAATGGATACTTTTATGCGGATTATGGCCGAGCATGCTGCGCGATCAATATGTACATACCTTTTCGATGATCCAATCATGCCGTCATACCACTCGGTTGATAGCTATGAGAGCTTTCGAGAGTAAAATGAAGATGTCAACCCGCCTCTCTGCCTCTCGTCCTTTCTACTTCTCTTCAGCCTCTTCGACCAGCCCCCACCTTTCCATGTTCTTCTCACCTATGTTTTCGACCAGCCACCAGTCAGCAAGCCCCACGATAGAGCAGACAAAGATCACTCTGGTTAGACTGCTGGACTATGTACGGTTTCTACAAAGGACTCTGGCGATCTGAATCGTCAACAGGAATGGAAAGGCGCACCACTTCCTTTCAACCAAACTTTTCCGACTCACGATTTCAGAGGGCCATCCCGGCACGCTCACCGTTCACCTTTGTCGCCTTGGCCAGGAATCCAAGTAAGTACGTCCGTTGGTCTTGGTTTAATATCGCCTTGTCCTTAACCATCTTCCCACATTAATCCTGTCTGTACCCATTTCCGAAGCTGAAACTTTCATCATACCTGGCCCTTTGCCGTCTTTTTAGTTGTTATATCTATCCAGCTTGACGCTGATTCCCCTTCTCCGTCCTTGATCGCTCCTGATTATTCTAACTTGATCCTTAATTATAGCTTGGAGCTGGTATCCTGGTCGTTGATTACCGCTTCATATTTCTATTAACCAAATCAACCATTTCAGTTCGTTTCCTCCTTCAGTCGCAAAGCCTTCCGTGAAATCGTGCTCTTGTTTGTGTGATCATGAAGCGCCCTGGAATGACCAATGAGCGGTCATGGCAAGGTAAGTGCTTTATCTATAATAACTGATGTTTCATCAAGATCGCCCCACTGAAGTACTGTCACTGTAATCTGTATGCTCCTCCCAGACCCCAATGAAATTCATATTCCCGAGCTGCGACAAGCTTTGTCGGCTTTTGCAGTTGACTTCGATCGAACTGAACGTCACACACTTTTATTCCAGCGCTACGTCAGGCTTGCCAGCTTTGAGTCTCCCGATTCAGTGGCGCAGTGGCTCAAGCTGGACTCGCTTCCCCCACCATTCCCAGGTAAGTAGGCGCTCCTGTCTGTAGTGAGGAATAAATTAGATAATTGAAACCTTGACTGTTTTTTAGCCCCCAAAGATCTTGTAGTGCCCAAGTTGAGAATAGTTATAGCTCTTCACGCGGTGGAGTACCCAGCGCAAGCGAGTCGTGGACATTTGCTACAACTGTACAACTCTTTGGCCAAGCGCTTTGATCCAAGTGGCCCAGTCCAAACAAACTCTGTCATGGTTGTGATTCCATCTCCAAGGCCCTCTCATCCCAATCAAAAGAAACGCAAGTCTAATCCCGATCCTAAAAAGCGCCAAACAAAATCTAAATATCAAACAAGCTCGGAATCTCTCCCACAACCGTCGTCCCCCCCACCGCCGTCGACCAACTCAAACTGTCCGAGCAAAGAAGCCCTTCCAAGCCATGTAGGAAGAACTAGGCCGGGCAAGATCAAAACCAGAGAAAACACATTCTTTAGGCCGTACCAACGAGCATCTGCGCAGAGGCCTGCCTCATCTCGTCGAACTTCTGCAACGTCTAAGCGCGGCTCCCTATCTTGAACTTCAAGATCTTCAGAGGGATACTCCCTCCGAAAATCCCCTCGGCTGAGCGCTGCACGGGAGAAATGCTCCGTGTCTCATGCATCTCAATCAACCGAGGGTGCATCTCAGGGCTCCGACAATGAGGCGGTTATCCCTGCATCTGAAGCTGATGCTGACATCAAGGATGAATCTGATGACGATGCCAATGTTGACTTCCCATCAGCCGGTTTGGAGGAGATTTCCACGCAAACTGCAAGCTCATCGGCTTCCGAGACCACTCGAGCAGGCGATCCCTCTCACGAATCCTCCTTCATAAGCAGAGCCAGTCGTTCCAGTTCCCAGACTTTTCGGCTGGAAACCCCTGATTCTCGTGCGAGGGGGAGTGATAATCACACTCCACCCCCCTTCGCACACACACTCCAACACTCCCTTCTCTGAAGGGAGTGTGGGACCACACTCCAATTGAAATTGGAGTGCGGGTCCGCACTCCAACCCTCTGCGCAGGCATTCCCCCAGCAGGTTGGCGTGCGGGTCCGCACGCCAATTTCAATTGGTGTGTGATGCTGCACGCCAGCCGTTAAGCGAGGTTGCCTCGCTTGCAGGCAGGCGTGCAGCCAGCAATTCCATATGCCTCGACCTAAACCCATATTCCTATGGGTTTAGGTCAAGGCATATCCCATAGGACCCA